ATTTGAAATTCATTTCACACCCCAATTCTAACTTTGTTTCTCTTTAGATTTAGTTTTTGTTGTTCCTGATTCTGATTTTATTAGCTTTATTTGCTATCGGATGTCGGATAGTGTACACGGTGACGGTGTATATGGTGGTTTACCCGTGGTCGAACAGTGTACATAATGACAGTAGCCAGACAGTGTTTACGGTGATAGAGTACACGGTGATATACGGATGGTCGAACAATGTACATGATGATAGTAACCAAGCGGTGTTCACAGCGGTGTACAGAAGCTCGAACAGTGTACGCGATAGTTTACTGGTGGTTGGACACTGTACATGGTGGTGTAATTGTAGGTGGTCAAACGGTGTAAACGATGGTGTACAAGTGGACAGTGTACATAGTCCCATACACGAGCAGGTATTGTCCTCTCTCTCAACTCATTTTGTGTATTTTTCACCAATTCCCTATGTTACACAAACAGCGAAAAATGCATATTTTCATATTTGCTAAAGTAAAATGCCCACTTTTCATATAATGTTTTTTAAAAGTACCGACTCCACTAATTTATTTTTTCCATTATATTATATCATTTTATATAGTAAAAAGTATATTATCTTCAATGTTAAAAAAACGCTAGACGCTAATTAAGCGGACGGTGACACAATGCTTAGTGTCTAAAACGTCTAACCGGAGCCTAGGCGATTTAATAGGCGGTTTAAACGTTTTATAAAAATACATAATATATTAGATATATATAATAAAATATATAAAAAATCATAGTTTATAATTAATAAAATTTATATTGTATTTATATTCATCATTTAATAGCTAAATATATAAAATTTTATGATTTATATATAAAAAAAAATTATAGAATTTCATTATAATAATACCATAATATTTTAGGTGGCAAAAGCGGTAATCGCCACGGTCTATAGGGGCATAACGCCTAAGTGCCGCCTAGACGAACGCCTAGAACGATTTTTAGAACACTGATTATCTTTTTCGATTTTGTAATTAATAATTTATTTTATTTATAAAATTTACAAATTGATCCTTTCTATATTTACTAAGTTTAAGTATATTATTAAAACTTATGATATTGTATTTTGTATTATATATTGACTCTTGTTTTAATATATAACTAGGTGAGAAAATGATTTTCTACTATTAATATGAAATAAATTAGATTCTTTTTGTTGGAATGTAATATTAATATTCAACAAAAATCGTTTTCTACAAAAGTTTGTATTTGATTTTAACCAGAGGAAGTTTGAAAGCAAAATAGAGCTGGCTTCAAAGAAAAAAACCAACAGTTAGCGGGTAGTCGGGTACTAAACCACCGTATCAATGTGGTCTTGATGAATGGAATCGAAGTACTGAGTTGCGGTCATCACATATCCGGTAGTCAATAACCCGGTAAACTAAGAAACTGTAAAACACCTAAATAAAAGATGGACTATTTAATATTTGAGAGCCTCAAGAAGACTACTCTTTTTTCAATCTGTCCACAAGTCACAAACAAACCAAGAAGCTGCTCTTCTAGTGACATGTAACACCTTAACACAATACACTCACAAAGAAAAAAATGAAGACCTTGTAATTCTAAGAATAATCTCTCGGAATGACGTCTTCTCGCTGAGCCATATACTTGTTCGAGCATTCATCCTTCGTTTCCCTTGACCAAATCTCTTCTTCTACATCACACAATCAAACGAATGCTACGAATAAAGATCA